ATATAATATTTTATTTATTTAATTGTGTGTGTTGAGTATAGAAAGACAGGTTAATATTTTCAATAATATAAAATTTATTTTTATGAACATAGCAATAGCTCCAGACAACCATCTTTGTAAAACACATCTGAACAGTGCTGAATTCTGCATACAGTGTATTAAACACCACAAATGACTGATTATCTTAATAACATGTACATCACAAAACATGATCACAAAAGCTTTTGTTATCCTGGAAAAATTACAAACATGACAGTTTTACACTGAAATGGGTTATGCACAGCTTGCAAAGTGAACAGAGATGCTTCGTATCAATAATGACAGTAAACAGCAGTGGAAAAAGAAGAAAAGGCTTAATTACAGTCCAACAGTAATATCCAAGATCATGTTTTTGGGTGAATATAGTATAATTTAGCTATTGAGTGCAAAAAATAAACAAAAAAGGCCACAAATCTGCACTTCAAAACAACATGACAAAAGAACTAGGTAAGACACTCTCTCAAGCTAAGGACTTGTATGGAATTTGAGTCATTTTGGTGTTTTGCACCTTCTGCCTCTCTGATTGGCTGGCACTGCTCAATGGACTCACCTGTGAAGGATTGGCTCATCACTCCCTGGCTTTTTAAGGCTGTTTTGAGTATTAACTCATCGCTGAAGCATTTCTACTGTTTGGTAATGAGCTCAGCCTGTTTTTCCAGCCACCTAAACTTGACTTACCTTCGTGCTTTTTTGTATTTACCTGTTTCCAGACTCAAAAAAGTGTTTGAGACCTGATCCTGCCACGCCTACCTGAGGAAACTAGAGCCACTCACCTGCTTGTTCATGCGCTGCCTGCTTGCCTCCAGCTCACCTGTAAACTAGATACTGCACAGCGGCAGTGGTGGACAAAGTACTCATCTCTAGTACTTGAGTAAAAGTATTGATAGGGTCAAATCCACTCAACTACAAGTAAAGGTTACTCCATCACAAATCTACTCGAGTTAAATTACTGAAGTACTTTGAAAATACTTAAGTATTCAAAAGTACATATATTTAAAATTAAGGAACAGTTCTAAAATGGTTTGTTTTATTTAACTGATAGATTTCAGTTTGTTTAATGTTAATAATGAATCTTCTTCTTACACCAGAATAAGTCACGGAGTTCCTCAGGGTTCAGTGCTTGGACCAATCCTCTTTACTTTGTATATACTTCCTTTAGGTAAAATTATTAAACAGCATGAGATAAATTTCCATTGTTATGCTGATGATACTCAGTTATATTTATCCATGAAACCTGATGAATCCAACCAGTTACTTAAACTACAAGCATGTCTTACAGACAAAAAAACATGGATGACTCTTAACTTTCTACTTCTAAACTCAGACAAGACAGAGGTTATGGTTCTTGGACCTGAACATCTTAGGGATCAACTTTGTAGCCTTTCACCTCCTCTGGATGGCGTTAATCTGGCCTCCAGTTCTAATGTAAAGAACCTTGGTGTTATTTTTGATCAGGATATGTCCCCACATTAAAAATGTTACCAGGACGCCTTCTTCCACCTGCGTAATATTATTAAAATTAGAAATATTTTGTCCAAAAATGATGCAGAAAAACTGATTCATGCATTCATTACATCCAGGCTGGATTACTGTAATTCTTTATTATCTGGGCATCCAAAAAACTCTTTAAGAAGTCTTCAGTTAATCCAAAATGCTGCTGCTAGGAGTTTTAATGAAAGTTGGAAGGAGAGATCATATTTCTCCAGTTTTAGCTTCCCTCCACTGGCTCCCTGTCAAATTCATAATAGAATTTAAAATATTACTCCTAACATACAAAGCTCTTAACAACCAAGCTCCATCATAAATTAAACATCTTATTGTTCCATACTTTCCTAACAGAGCACTTCACTCTCAGACTGCAGGTTTACTTGTGGATCCTTGAGTTTCTAAAAGTAGAATGGGAGGCAGAGAATTCAGTTATCAAGCTCCTCTCTTATGGAATCAACTTCCAGTTTCTGTCTGTGAAGCTGACACTCTTGTCTACTTTTAAGATTAGACTGAAGGCTTTCTTTTTTGATAAATCATATAGTTAGACTTGGGTTTCCTGAATTATTCTTCATTTCTGCTGCTATAAACTTAGACTGCTGGAGCACAAACTGAGCACATTTCTTCACTCTGCTGTTGTCTTAAGTCTCTCTTCTTTAAATGTTTATAGTAATTACATCGATCATAGTTTTTCTTTGTCTTCCAGAAGAAGGTGCACCTGGACCAATACCGGACCAGTTCTTCTGTGTTTGTCTGTGTCTCTTTCCTGT